ACAGTTATATGATGATGGATTGTGTCCCTAATTGCAAGGGGGTGGGGGAGAAATGCAATAAGAAATAAAAAAGACAAAGCCTTGTGACTTTTTTTTCTCTCTCCAAGATTTATTACATCTCTGAAAACCATATCCTCTATGAACTAATGAAGGCGATTTTTTTCTCTCCAGTCACTTTATTTTATTTATTTTATTTGTCAATTGCTTACAAGATAATAGGTACAAGTATAAACATGAGTAAGAATACAGGAAATAGGTACAAATAAATGGGGACAATAGGACAGGGATGGTAGGCACGATGGTGCACTTATGCATCCCCTTACAGACCTCTTAGGAATGGGATGAGGTCAATAGTGGATAGTTTGAGGTTGAAGGAGTGGAGGTTTGAGGATGTAACAACAGAGTCAGGTAGTGCATTCCAGGCATTGACCACTCTGTTGCTGAAGTCGTACTTTCTGCAATCGAGTTTGAAGTGGTTTGATTGAGTTTGTATCTGTTGTGTGCTCTTGTATTGTTGTGATTGAAGCTGAAGTAGTCATTGACTGGTAGGACATTGTAACAAATAATTTTGTGTGCTACACTTAAGTCTAACCATAGGCGGCATAGTTCAAGGTTGTCCAAGCCCAAAATCTCAAGCCTGGTGATATGGGGTATTCTGTTGCAAGCAGAGGAGTGTAATACTCTTCTTGTGAAATACTTCTGGACTCACTCAATTGTATTAATGTCCGATATATAGTGCGGATTCCAGACTGAAGAGCTGTATTTGAGTATTGGTCTAGCAAAAGTTTTGTATGCTCTAGTTAGCAATTTGATATTTCCGGAGGAGAAGCTTCATAAGATTAGATTTACAACTCTTAATGCCTTTTTGGCAATGTTGCTACAGTGAGCTCTGGCGCTTATGTCATTTGATATGAGAACTCCAACGTCCTTGACAGAGTGAGGATCATCAACAAGGTCATATCTGCCTAGTTTGCATTTGGTGTACTAACTTTTTTTTTACCAATGTGTAGGACAGAGCATTTGTTGGTCGAGATTGGAATTGCCAATTGTTTGACCGTTCAGATCAAGGTCACTTTGAAGGACAGTAGCATCGTCGGTGGTGTTGAATAGTTTCACATCATCTGCAAAGAGGACACAGTTGCTTATAAGGTGATCGCAAAGGTCATTTATATAGAGTATAAAGAATGTGGGTCCTAGAACACTGCCTTGGGGGACACCGCTGTTAACTGGAGCAGGGTTTGATATAACGCTCCCTATTTTTACTATTTGTTGTTTGTTGACAGGAACGCAGTAATCCATTTATGAAGGGATCCGGAAATGCTGTAAGAGTTTAGTTTTAACAGTAATTCATCATGTACCATTGAATAAAAGGCTTTGCAGAAGTCTATGTAAATTGCATCTATAACTTTACCCTAGTCGAGTAGAGTAGTCCATATGTTTTTGCAGTGTAGGAGTTGAAGATTGCAAGACTATTACTTCCATTGTGTTGGTTGCAGCCCATTACAGCCCACCAACTCCATTCAGTTAAATTATTATTTTTTAAATGATGTTGGTATCTACCTGAGTGAAATATATAAATAGGTAGTCCTCACTTATTAGTGGTAATTGTAATCAGAATTACTATTGCTAGAAAAAGGGGTAGTAAAGGGCAATATCATGTGATCATGCCATGACAGCAATTCTATCAGTCCCGTTACTGTTGTGAGAGAATTATCACAGCTTGTTAAGAGAGAACTTCACATGACTGTACCTTTCAACTTCCTGATTGCTTCCCCATTTTCTTTGCTTGGGGAAAAACTGACAAATTGCAATCACATGATTGTGGGAGGCTATGATGGTTGGAAATCCAGACCACTTACTGAGCACCTGGATCATGATCACATGACTGCAGGGAAACTGTGACAGCCAGAATTTCGATGACTGGTCTTATGAACCGCTCATTCAGGGCAGTGAATGGTCACTGAAAGAGTGATTGTTAACCAAGGACCACTGTACTCTGATTTGGAAATTGCTTTTCTACCCAAGAAAAACAGAAGTTTTCATTGTGATTCTTCGTGGAATAAAAAATGAGAATGAGAAGTATTTCTTTCTTTAGATTTATGTGCTGCCCATCTGTTTAGAGGCACATTCTTAGATTCCAGAAGAGTATTGCAGTTGTGTGAGTCTGTTACGACAACCCAAAGCCCCAAAGGGTTGTTTTCAGTTTATTGCAGCACAAGTGCCTGTAAAGTGTAACCCATCTCCTCACTTATGGGCCTGATAAAGTGGACTGAAGTTTCATAGAAATGTCCAATTTCTTCATCTTTATGACTTTGTAGTCTTTGTTGCATATTTTCCAAAGTATTTTTCTTTATGAGGAGTTTAGTTCTCTCAGAAAACTGCTTTCACATCAACTTTTGCCTGAATAGAGCAAGTTTGATCCCCCTGGCTCAATACAACTTTTCTCTGTGCTGCCTCAAAACTCTGGAAATGTTTATTCCTGGTGTGCTCTTGTTTTTGTCTCTAAAGAGTTGCCATTTCACTGAAAATGGCCTTTCTTTGTGATCTTTTTCAAAAACAAGGCGGCAACAGAGCATTTGCAGAAGTACGCTTTTTACCCTTTGCATGATGCAGGTCTTCTGCCAAAAATGAAAATTTCTGGGCCACTGATGTATCTAATTGTCTGAGTTTGCTTTAATTCTTTTCTGTCTTACACAGCTGGAATAATTTTGATAAGCATTGAAATCAGGACAATTTTGTTAATATGTAAGTCTGCTTTAAATCAGTAAGACCTTTTCCAAGTGGATTGGACTGAACTGTAGCTCTTTAGCTATTTTAATGCATCCGAACCCCTATCTGCTGCATTGAAGTATCTTTCATTATTTATAGCATGATTTTCTTGGATAATTCATAGCAATTTATATAACACCTGAAATGTTGCTTGCTTATTAATGGGCTGATCTAGTCCACAGAGGTGTAATTCAGAACCTTAGCACTGACATGAGTATCCATTTTAAGGCCATATGTATACTGTTCTCTGGATTTGTTGGTTGCCAATTCCCACAAGGGCCAGCCATTATAATGACTCAGAAGGACGGAACAGCATCTGGAAATACACAAGTTCCTTAACCATGCCATATGATACTCAGATCTCTTTGAAGGAAATGTAATTGGAGCTGAGAAGAATCCAACTAGGTTTTAGAAGTATTCTATTAGGTTATAATGAGAGAATATGGATGCTGATAGTAAACAGTGTGTGTAAATAATGTACCAGATATATTGTTCAGGAGTAGACCACCATAGTTTTTTTTTCCTGGTACCTCTAAAGTCAATAAAACCACAAAGATTAAGTTAAGTGAAACTAACTCAATGAAAATTGATTTTTCTAAATGTCAAGTTGAAGCAGTCTCTTAAGACTATATCTTGTTCTGGGTTGCTATATTTGTCTTCTCTTGGTGAAACCACCTTAGGCTTTTTCTTTAGTGTGCTACAGATGTGATTCCTTTATCCAAAAATATGTTCTAGTTATTTTTAGTTTGTTCCAGCCCAGTTTTGTTTCCATGTCTGTTAATATTACCCTTCTTACTTATCTATTGCTCAATAGAGTCATTTTTAAGTAATAATAAATAAAACCCAAGTATAAACATAGCGCGTGAATTGATACTATTGAAATGGTTGGAGTGAGAAGAAATGCATTCACTGAGAATCTATTGCCGGTAGAGAGCGATGTCCTCACTTAATCAATCACTAATGCCCCTTTGATATGTCCTATTTGATAAAATAAGGAATGTACTTTTGTGTTGAAGCTGTGGTGAAAAGAGAAGTATCATGTAAAATGAAAAGCTGAATTCACAAGTGAAGGTTCATAACTTGATTACTGAAATATTGAGTCATAATTTCCATTTGATTAGTGCAACACTATTTTTTTTTTAAAAAATGCAATAAACAAGCACTGAAAGAAACAAGCTCCATCTCTTTTCAATAGAACAATCTTATGCCCTCAGCTGGCATGTCAGTGGATTTATGTGATCTCCCTACTGTGGTGTCAATTGGGCCTGCTATTTTTTTATTTTAATTCAAAAGGTTTGCATTCCTCTCAGGAGGCTGAGATCAATTGCCCTGGCAGTGGCTGCCTTGAAAGAAGAAAAAAATGAACCAAAAATATATCGGAAAAAATGATTTTTTTCAATCAATCCTCACGACAGACCAATAGTTACTAAGTGTAAAATATCAAGAAAAGCAACAAGAAGCAGAGAGAAGAAAGTATTATAAAGGTTTGTGAAAAATCCATCACATCACTTCTACTATTTTGTAAATAAATGCTGTTTTTTGTCTAGATTTGGGCGATAAATAGGTGAAAAGCAACATTCACGCTTATGCTATAGAAACACCCAGTCTGTTTCAACTGCATCTCCTTTAGGCAGCTCGCTCCAAAACTGTATGCTCAGTCATGCTCCTTTAACTGGAAAGATAAGCCTGCTTTTCTGGTCTCTGCTCAAAACTGTGTGACTCTGAAGTGCTTCACTGCATTAGATGGGATCCTTCCAAACTAAAGAGCATGTCCGAAAAAACTCCAGGCCTCACATGCTGATCTCAGTGGAATGTTAAATTATTTAACCTAGGCTGCAAGTGGTTACATTTAAAAAGAGGGTAGAGTTGAATATGTTCTGCAAACTAGTATAATTCAATCAAGCCCAACGGTCTTTCCACTCTGCAAGTACTCAGGTGAATTGCATGCTAAATTTTTAAGATCGATCTGTTGACACAGTTCTTTTCGGAGAGGTCATTACTCCCATCCTGTTAGAGAACTCTACTCTGGCTGGTTGGGGAGTGGGAGTAACTGTATGGCAGCAGAAGGGTTAATTCATTTCCCCCCCCTCACTTTGCCAGTTTCAAATTACAATGAGAAGCCTCTTCTCTCCCAGCAGGGTTGTGCTTACATTAGCTTTCAGATCTCTTGAAGGGAACTGCTCTATTTTTGCCTGGTAGAGGTGAAAAATCACTTTTAAGGAACTGCAAAAGATTGGATGGATATTGAGAAGGGGAGGGGCCCTGTTTTTTTGTTTTTGTTTTAACATCCCTGGATGAATTCAGAGGAAGACGTTTTCAAGCCTGTGATGCATGTTTCAGATGGGCTGGACATTACAAATGTTAATAGGCTCAGCTGGGTGCTGAAAAAAAAAACCACCAAAGGGAAATTGCACCATCACCAAGCAGTAGTTGAAGACAGAAAACTGGCATTCAGGAAAGGACAGCAAGGTGAAGAAAAGTTATCTAGGTAGGGATAAGGAACCAGAGCATGAGGGGACTCTGATGATAATGGTAGTTTGACAAGGTTATCTGTTCAAAACTGTTCAAAACTATCTTCAAGTCTGATGATCTCAAGGTTTTGACTAGGAATGCCTGCATCAAATGATCAGCTTCTGGGAACCTGTTCCACCAGTGCAGGAGAAACAGTTAGAGCAATAGAAAACTGGACGTCTGAATTTCAGCTTTCATAGAACTGCAAGCAGCTCGACACAGCCCATCATACTTAAGGAAGAAGTGGAAGGAGATGATCAAGATGGGAGATACAGAAATGGCAATGCTGACATGAGGCATAGGTAATTCATCGTTCATTTTTTTTTATTTTTTTATTTAACCTTTCTTGGTCCCGGGAACACCAGATTTCATAAGAGACCAGAAAAAGGAAAATACAACATTATTTGAAAGTTATTTGTGTGTTTATTTTATTTTAAAATGGACCAAACTCTGTTCAAAGTTCTATTGAGCTTACTCTGGAATTACTGGCTTTTAATGGATTATGCTAAGGCAGGCATGGGGAACAACCATGTCCACTCCAGTTTTATTTATCGGAGATTGCGGAACCATGAGAGGCGAGAGATCCAAAGAGAAATTCTTTCCATCCTGGGTTTACCTCATAGACCCCGGCCATTTTCAGCTGGAAAACAAGCTTCCTCAGCACCTCTCTTCATGCTGGATCTCTACAACGCAATGACAAATGAAGAGGATCCCGAAGAGTTGGAATATTTGGTGAAGGGATCCCCAAGCGGAGAGGGCAAAGGGCTACGGAAAGGCTACTTGGCATCTCCAAATGGATATTCCCGAAGAATATACATATCACGGACAAGTTCACTTCCTACACAAAATCCCACCTTAGCTAGCTTGCACGACACCAACTTTCTGAATGATGCAGATATGGTCATGAGTTTTGTCAATTTAGGTATGTTGCCAATTTCATTTTGTTTTCCTTTGTTTGAAATCTCTCTGGGGTAGACAAAATAGGAGAGCAAGAGCCCTTTTAAAGGCAAAAATTGGCCCCTAGAAGATGTGCTACAAGTACAAAAATGAGTTGGGCTAATGGTAAACCAGCTACTAAGTAGGCACCCTGTTTCTCCAACAATACGGCCTCCCCCAATAGGAAGTCCCAGCATGTTTTATAGGCATGAAATGAAATTAAGCCCCTCCCCCCAAATTAAGGCCTATATTAAAACATGCAAAATGGTGGGGAATGGTGGGGGGGCTTGCCATTAGGAAGTACTTTTGTTGCACACCCGGATATGGTGCTGCCTGCGTTGACCCCGATATGAAGTGCCCCACCAACGCCGAGGTCAACATCCAAGCTGTCGCCGCCCGCCCGAAGATGCAAGGGGAGGGGAATTAAGTCACCCCCGAAAAGACGGCCTAGCCATTTTTTTGGGGCTCAAAAAAAAAATAAGACCCAGCCTTATTATATGAGAAACACGGTAGTCCTGGGTAGGGGGAGTTTCTCTTACCTTTAGTATAAAGTCAGTTGCCCTTTGTTTTTCTTCTTTCATTGATGTAATTAAAATGATTACATTAGCCCAAGAATCATTTTTTAAAAATAGGGGGAAAAAACCATGTAAGCCTACTGGTATATATTATTTGCTTTGGAAATCAGAACAAGATTATAGAAGATAACCAGTAACTGTGCTTCAAGGATGATAGAATTAGACATTCAAACAGTTGGGGGCAGGGGAAATATTTCATATTTGACAAATTTCTCATAGATGATTCTTGTTTGCATATTGAATTGGGGAGAGAGCTTGTGGAATTCCCTAACATACATGCAGAATTTGTGGCCTTTAAAGAATTTCAAGTTTGTTTCAGGTATCGTTGCTTTTCCTTTCTGAAATGAAGCAATTTTTATATTGGTAAATATTCTATTCTGGATCACGGCTTCATTTTATTAGTTTTAAAAAGCTCTTTCTCACATATTTTTTAAAAATGTGAAATTAAACTCTAGGATAGAAACTTTGTATTTATTTTAAACTACAATAATTTAGAGAGGAATAATTGTTTCATAATGCAAGAAGGTGTGAAAAATGGTGATATTATGGATGTTGTCAAAATATTTCTGTATCTATGAATTATGAATTTCACATTGCAGAGAAAAATCCATAAACAGTGCTGGACTGAAAGTATTTTCAACATTTTGACACATATTTGCCAAAGATTTCACTGAAAAGTAAACCATCATATAAAGAGTGACAAATTCCTCTCCTGTTCCTTTCCTGGAAATATTTTCTATAAGAGTTTTAAGCATCAGGATGAAACTCTAAAATAACTTTAAATGACATGCACCATTTAAGCTGGTTCTAATTATAGTAGGTTAGTACAATGTTTAGTTGATAATTATTTAGAAAACATTTAACAGAAATTTAGCAATCAGAAATAAAATAATATTTTGCTAATAATATTTTAGGGAAATAGTATTTTGAAAAGTACTTTTCAAAACTTAGTGAAAAGTATCCACAAATACAGTGCGATTTACGGGCACTATATTTAAAAAAAAAAACCAACTACAGATGTTCCCCTTTTTTTCTTACCTTTACATTTGAAATGATTTAATGTGTTCTACAACCACAACTAAATTCAAATGTCTATGTAAAGAATCAATCATATTGAATGCATATTTTGTATAAGCATTTTAATAAGATTTGAGGTACATTGACCCCTTGTTTATCAGTTAGCTTTAATTCTAAAACTAATTGTCTTCTATTGGTCTAAAAACAGATTCAGTAAATGCATTATTAAGCAGATGGCTGCAATTTTTTCTCTTCAGGTTGTGGATGTTGGACTTTTATAAACAAATAGGATTCCTGTTCATGTGCATTTAACATTATCCGTGATGACAATTCAATTTACTATAAGGTCATTCCCTCCGCCCCAGCCTACTAAGCTGGCATAAATTGTATTATTAGATAATAGTAGCTGTTGTGTTAAAGAACATCAGAATGCATGTTCTATACTGAAACCTGATTTTTCTAACTCTTGAAATGTATAGACATCATTAAAATGAAAAGCTGGCTAAAATAAATCTTTATCTGTTTTATATGCCCTATTAAACTGGTGTTTAACCTTTCAAAGTAGATTAAAGTTAGATCGCTTCTTGCTGTCTTTGTAGTTTGGCAGAATTTCAGGGCATTAAGCACCCTCTTCATTAAGGCTAGATAAATATTTTTGGTGAAACTAAGAGAAATCTCAATGCAATTAAAGTACATAAAATATCATGCCAAAGAGCAACCATTCATATTCTATATCTGACAATCAATGGCAATTATAATTAAAAGTACTACAAAGAAAAATGGTAATGATAAATGAATCTTTGGTCATATCGTGGAAATTGGTGGAGGTTTACACTATCCATCATATGCAATCAAGTTGCTTTCTTCTGGAAGTAGTCCTGACTCTTAAAGTGGAGGGCCATTATCAAATTACAGTACATTAATCCCCCACGAGATGATAAAGAATTTACATAAATCATTGCATTTGCCAAACTCTAACGATTTAAAAACTTCTGCGCTAAGAATAACAAATGGGAGGTGTTAAGTCCTAGAAATGCTGTTTGCTGGGAGCTTGAGGTAATAAAGTTTCATCCTTAAGGGGCATCTGAATTTAAGGCAGAAAAAAGAAAAATCCTCTGGAGGAAGAAAGATGGTTTCTGTCATAATAATTATGCTGGTAGAATAACTGCTGATAACGTTTGCTTGCTTTGCTAATAAAATTTAAAATGCCCGAGAGAGTATTTAAAACAGATCCACTGGTAAAAAAGTAAAAATGAAGTCATTTAAATTAAAGGTTTGTTTTGTTTTCAATATTCTCTTTCTTTTTCCTTCCAAAATGTGAAGCCGAAGCATTTTCTCCACCGTTAGCATTCTAATACATGGCAATATAACCTCAGCTTCTCTTCCTTTCCCACCGCCATTCTAATTATGATGAAAAACATTTCCTGAGAGATAGTTCTCAGTGCCTTGCTTGTTCTCCCTGTCCAGCTCTGATCATGTTCTCTTCCAAAACTTTTTGTTTCTGCCTTTTCCATCTGGTTCCCCCATTCCTTAATTTGCAAAGTTGTACTTTTTAACTGTAGCTTTTAACTGGTTTTTATTTGCTTTTAATGGTTGATGGTTGTAGTGGTTAACTGTGTGTTAATTGTGTATACTGCCTAGAGCCATATGTATCTCTAAATTCAGTTGGTAAATAGGTACTGTAGGTAGGTAGGTAAACAGACAGACAAACTTAAATGGTAGGCATATATTTTTCATTTTTTTATAAACAGACATCCAGGTTATTTCACAAAGATAGATACATGAATAACATTGTCTTGGCGGCTTTCATTCAACAGTGAATGAAAGCTTCAGAAAAGATTGGTCTGAAACCCTCCAATCATCAGTTATATATAGAAATCCGTCAACCATTTTTTAAAAAAAATGAACCAACTATAATATTTTCAAAGATCTACTTTAATTTTAACAGGAACGTACATAAATTACTGATTCTCAGATTATTATTTTTTTGCTTGATTGAAGGAAATGGAACTGTTTGACAAATCCTGTTTGGACAGACAGATTATTTGTTTAAGTTATTATTTGCTTGCTTTTTAACTTGAACTGCAGAAGCAGCATATCAAGTCTCCAATCTGTTGTTGTTAGTAATCAGCTGTTATTGGATAGGAATATATTTTAATCTGGGCTACTGAGAATGTTCAAATCTGACTGAATTTATATTAAAAACAGTCTTCTAGCTTTGCTAAGATTCAAACTACCGGTACTTAGATAAACCTGAACTGAGATGTGGGTGGATGATGGGAGATTCAGATTTTTTCCCCATGAAAAAGCAATGAAATAACATATGGTTGTTCAATTATTTAGAGAATTTAAGGATGACCAATTATTTATTTTCATTTATTACACCAGCAAGAGAGTGGCATACTCAGTTCTGAAAGCAGAAGACAGTTTTTCTCTTAAACTTTAGTAATTTCAGTGGGACTCACACAGATCTCCAGCAACTATGAAGAGTGTTGAAATAATAACAGGTTACAACACCACAAACATTAGTAGATTATTCTGGCAGTTGATGCTAGACTTTATAGAATGGAGTATGAAATAATTAAAAAATACAGACATATTCCTTTTTGGTTAGCAAATCCAATAAAATGGGTGTATATTTTCCTTACTGAAATAGAGCAGCTAAATCCATCTTGGTTTCATATAAAGTGAGGGACACTTCCTAGCCCTTGGGGATCTAGTGACCACTTTTTAGAAGAACAGGGCATTTTTACCAGTGGTGGGATTCAAATTTTTTTACTACCAGTTCTGTGGGTGTGGCTTGGTGGGCATGGCAGGGGAAGGATATACTTGAAAATCCCCATTCACTCCCCATCCCACTAACCTGCTTTCCAGCTCCGTTCTCCTGTGCAGGGCAACCAAGGAAGACCCAGCCAATCAGCTGGGACTCGGGAGGTGGAGAATAGATGGGGGCGGGACCAGTCAGAGGTGGTTTTTGCCGGTTCTCCAAACTACTCAAAATTTCTGTTACCGGTTCTCCAGAACTGGTCAGAACCTGCTGAATACCACCTCTGATTTTTACTATCTAAATCCTGGATTTCCAGCAGGGCCCTTTGAGGGACACAATGTACTTCTTGATAAGCTTCTTACTATCCATGCAATTTTAGCTTTCTGCTTTGTCTACTTTTATTTTTAATTAGTTCATTTTAAATGAAAACATGAATGGGAAGCTACCACACTCTCAAGAAAGTAGATTTGAAATAACCTCAACATTGATTTTTCTCCCCCCAAAAAAAAGACAGGAAAAAGAAACAAAACCCTGACAGAAATGAGCAATAATCTGAGATGAACTGATGTAAACTGATCATTAGGAGTGGATGTGAGGGGGACCTAAATGCATTTTTTTCTGTGTGCC